GTAAACGAACCACTTACCGACCCCCGCTCTGTGAATTTTCCCCTATCTAGGTGCCATTTTGCGATCGCTTTTGCGATCGCAAAAACGGCATCGTTGCACGGATTCGTCGCTCTACGGAGCGACCGTTGCGCGAGGCACCACTGTATTTATATTTAATTTATATACAACCCCATTGGTCCCAAGGCACTATTCTGTGCGGCCTACAGACAATTACAAACCAGGAGAAACAGACTATGGATACTAAAATGTAACAGAAACATCAATGACAAATCAAAACCATAAAAAACAATGGCTCCAACAAATTTTCACAATAAAGAGGACCGGACAGGAGGCACTCAGACACGGTTGGATTGAAAAGAGTAGTGTTTTTTAAAGCTCAACCCCCATTTCTGTTGTATACTCTTCTTAGAAAAGCTACTTTTCTTTTCACTTCACTAGTTTGTTTTGCAGAGTATCCTGTAACTGGTCACATCTGTCATGGCAGCATTTCTCAATGTTCCCAGTTTCGGGACCCTGGGCATCAAAAACAGAGTCTGAGGACTTTGCTGAAGCCTCAGATGATTGGAATCTAACCAGTATCTTAACGAAGAGCACCTAAGGAACCTGATAAATGGCATAACTGAATTCAATTAAAGACAGGTGGAGGCATTCTGAATGTTATACAATGAATGGGTTAAGTACTCATACTGTTACTTCATCCTTTAAAAATCCAGAAAGATTAATGAATAATCATTTATCAAGTGTGTCTTCCTATAAACACCCTGGGAATAAGCACCATTGACTACAAGGGACTTATGCTTATATAAACACGGATAGCATTGCACTTTAGAAGTGTTGCATCACAGGATTGCAGAGCTCCATCCCATAACATATGGTGAAGCTCTAATGATATACTTCTGATATATTTCTATAGTACTATAATTTTTCAATCCTTGACCTATTGCTTCCAAGTTAAAACTTTTTCTTTCTTTCTTTCTTTCTTTCTTTCTTTCTTTCTTTCTTTCTTTCTTTCTTTCTTTCTTTCTTTCTTTCTTTCTTTCTTTC